TAAAACAGTTTCACTTCTTTTCAATAAAAGCCATGCGCTGACCCGATTCGGGGCTCGCTCAGATTCTCTGAATGAGTCCCTTGGTCTCGCTCTTAACCCTACTTTTGTCTCTGACTCTTTATTCAATCTACGCCGCCCCTCAAGAGAAACCCGTTTGCCCTTGCCACGCTGGATGTGACAGAGATGTATCCAGGGCTTGAGACATTTCTTGTGGGCACATGAACCATCACTGTCCTTCAGACTTTTGAGGTTTCGGGAACCAAAGGGGCAGGTATTCAATAGGACTAAAAAGCACAGCTCCTGGGTGGTGAATTTCACTTCAGTGTCATGAAGAACATGAGAGCAAGCTATCAGATAAGGTGCCGAGTTGCTTTCCATGCTTAAAACCCTTTCCCATGGCTTCTTGCCTGCAAAATAAAGCCCAAGCTCCTTAATATCATAAAGGCTTCAGGACCTGACCCATATTTTCCTCCAGCTTCATCTCTCACTATTCCCCACTTTGGCGATAGTGTCCACTAAACCAACAAATGGAATGACTTGCTGTTCTTGAAATCACTACGTGCTGTCTCTCTTAGCTCTGGGTCTTTGTGTATGCTGTTTCCTTTGCCTTTAATGCTGTTCCTGATCTTGTACCACGACCCCCCTTTCACTTGTCAGTGGGTCTTTCAAGACTTAATTCAGGCATCATTTCCTCCAAGAAGTCTTCCCTGAAGCCCTTGGCTGGTTTAGGAATCTCCTGTAGACCCCATGGTCACAAGCTCCTTGAGGACAGATCCTGGGACTTCATTTAGCCCACATCCTGGTAGAGAACCATTGTCAATCAATGTTGAAAGAACAAATAAATGCGAATGTTTGGGGAGAGGCTGGAAAACCACCTGACAGGAGTGCTATAAAGGCTAGTGGAAGGTTCAATATTTCTAAGTTTTAAGATTAAACAGTTCGCTCATTCTTGGTGAAGATTCAGACTCCCCAGCTAGCCACCTCCACCCAGTGCCCTCTGAATGTTTGTTCGCAGGCAGGCACACACGCATGTTCTGAACGTAACTGGGAAAAGCAATTTACAAGACATAATTGCCGGTCGATGTGTGCTTGGGAGAAGCGGTGTGCTCAGACTATTTCTGTCTGTGCGTCAGCCCACCCAGCTTCCTTCTTCCTCCTTGGCTGCCCTGGGGGAGGGGGCTCCCACTGCACAGGGTAGGCAGTTTGTTTTCAACCCAAGACTCAGACAAGCCAACCCCAGGGAGAGCCAGCTCTGAGGACTGATTGAACTCAAACGAGAGAAGCTGAACCTGGAGAAGGAGCTTTATGGGCCTGGGATGTGTAGGTCAGCAGAGGCAGCACACACAGTCTATTTTCCATCTATCCCCACCCCATTCACACAGGTTCCTGCTGGGGAAATTCTACCAGGCCTTCAGGGCCCTACTCAGTGTGAGGTCTCCTCCTAACCTCTCCAGCTCTGAGTCCTCTTTGTTCTGCCTGGCAGGCTTGCTCAAAGGGTGGTCCCAGACCGGTAACATCAGCATCACCTGGAATGAGTTAGAAATGCAAATTCTGGGGACTCACTCCAGACCTAGTGGATTAGACGCTCCCAAGGGGGAGAGAGGCAGGCCCAGCAATCTGTGTTTTAACAAGCCCTCCAGCTAATTCTGATGCCGTCTGAAGTTTGAGAGCCACTGCCTTAAGCCATTGACGACCACTTGAGTTTTTAGAACTGACAGACCATCTTGCCCTATTAGACCCTGAGCAGCCTAAAGGCAAGGGCAGTGTTGGATTCTTCCTTGTAACCTCTCAGAAGGCCCAGCACAGAAAGGGTTCAGAGAAAAATTGGATCTTACTGATGGGGACACCAAGGGGAGAGACTGGATCTGTCCTGCGAAAGGTCAGCAACACAGAAAGTCAGCATCAACCTCCTGCATCGTGCAGTTCCTGGGCTGTGCTGGGTTCTCTCTCACTGTTTCTGAACAGGTTGTACTCTGACCATGTCTTCTGACCTTGTCTCAGGTGAAAACTTTGCCTCATCTTTGATGATTCAGCTCAGACATCCCTCAAGCTACATGAAGGGCTGCCAATGGGCCAACTGCCCTTTTATGTGCCTCCCAACTTGCCCTCCCTATGAACCCTGTGAGGGCAGCAGTGTTGGCTGATTCCCTGTTGTTTCTGATAACCTGCACAGGTCCTGGCACAGAATAGATGCCACTGGATGTAGAAAAAGGTGCTGGGTTTAGAGTGCTGAAAATAAGACACACACATGCGCGCGCGCGCGCGCACACACACATACACAAGACAACAAATAAAGGAAAACGAGAACTGAGGTCTCTTGACTTCCAGGCTAGGGCACTTCTGTGGGTGACTCACCCTGCCTTGCCACCCTATCATGTGCCCTCAGCTGGCTCAGGTACAGCTGACCCATGTACAGCTATTTAAGAGTCACCATTTCACTGTTGCCAAATCCAGCAGCAGGTCATGTCACAGTCGGGAATGTCAAGAGCTGCTTTAAGTGGCTGAGTCTTCTCGATCCTGGCATTGCACTCCCAAGGCAAAGCCTAAAGCCACTGCCAAAGCTGAGGAGAACAGGGGGGCTTCTCCCTGATTGCATGAAGCTGTTACTGACCATTTTACAGTAACAACTGGGATCCGCATCTTAACTGCCTTTGGCCCACAATGGGCTAGGCAGAGCAAAATTGCTGAGTCCACAGCAGGGCCTGCATGGGTTTACTGGAAAAGTCCTCATTTATCTCACTAGACATCCCCACCCCCACCTTTTACTGAAAAGAGACTCCAGAAGAGGATGGCAAGAGACATTTATTGGATGTTTATGGGGCTGGTCCACACGGGCTTAGATTGGGGATAGGGGGTCTCCTCAGGGCTGCCTGGAATGTCACGGGTGGTCACTGTGGCCATGAAGCAGTGCTGGAGGAAGCGCTTGGGGTCCACAGCCTGTTCCTCATTGTAGTCCAGCCATGGCTTCAGGAAGGGGTGACTCTGCCCTAGAGGGCTCACTCCTGGCACCTCCACCGAATTGCCTGTGTTCACACCTTGGCGGTCACGGGGCACCTCCTCAGGGTCTGGAAAACAGCAAGCTGAGGGCCTAGGGTTTCCTCCTTCATCCCCTTCCTCCCCACCAGGCTCACACACCCTGGCTAACTTCCCTGAGTGCTTACCTTGGGTGGGACCGTGTTCAGAAACTTAAATGCATAATTCACTTAATAAATATTAATGTTATGCCATGTGCCACATCGTGTACTAGGAGCTGTCAATGTTTCTAATGAACTTAAAGTTTAGTGGGGGAGACAGACAATAAAGAATTGTTAGGAGATATGAAGATGACCTCCACTATAAACCCATTAGGTAGGTACTATTAAAAACTCATTTTAGAGGGCCGGCCGAGTGGTTCAGTTGGTTAAGAGCTCGCTCAAGAGTTTGAGCTCTGAGCAATAGCGGTTTGAGTCCAGCCCCAGCTGAGCAGCCACTGAGCTGCCAACAGGTAGCAGGATGGCTCAGCTAAAAAAACAACAACAAAAAACCCCTCATTTTATAGTTGAGGATACAGGTTTACTACACAGCCAGTGTGCAGAAAAGTGCTATAAAAATTGTTAAATGTACATCATTTAAAAAAAAATAGATTCCATGACTCTCTTTATCTACTGCTTTATCCTCTTAAATTTGAGTTTAAGGAGAAAGCCAACACAAATAGAGGGCAGAGTTGAGAGAATCTTAGATGATGGAGTCAAACACCTGAGGGCCCTGTGCATTTCTATTCAAACCATGCATTTAGCCCACCCCTACTTTAGACCTTCTCACCTACAGAGTCAATAAATTTCCTTTTTTGTTTGTTTTGTTTTGAACTTTCTATTTTTAAACAATGTAAGACTCACAAGAAGTTACAAAAATAAGAGTTCCAGTGTATGCTTCATGTAGCTTTCCCCATTGATAACAACTTACAAAACCATAAAACAATTTCAAAACTAGGAGATTGACATTGATTTGATGCTATTAACTAACTACTATCGATTCTATTCAATTTTACCAGTTTTTTATATGTTCTTTTTTGGGTGTATATGAAAGTTTATCACATGTGTAGATTTATATAACCACTGCCACAATCAGGATAAAGAACTGTTCCCTCACCACAAGGAAACTTTCTCATGCTACCACTTTATAGTTAGACCTCTTCCTAAACCTAATTCCTGGTAATTACTAATTCATTCTCCATTACTCTAATTTTGTCATTTCAGAAGTGTTATATAAAGGGAATTATATGGTATACAACCTTTTGAGATTGGCTTTTTTTCACCCTGCATAATACCCTTGAGATCCATTCAAATTGTGTGTATAGGGAGTTCATTCGTTTTCATGGCTGCATATATTCCATTGTATGGATGTACTATTTGCAGACTGAAACACACATTTGGGTTGTTTCCAGTTTATGTCTATGACAAATAAAGCTGTTATGAACATTCATGTATAGTATTTTCGTGCAGATATATTTTCAATTCTCTAGGATAAATACCTAGGAATGTGATTGCAGATTTGTATGGTATAGTGGGCTGAATGGTAGACCCCAAAGATATCAGAGCCTAATCTCTAGAACCTGTGAATGTTACCTTATATGGCAAAGTTTTTGCAGGTGTGATTAAAGTAAAATTGTTTATATAAAGAGATTATCCTAGGTCCAGCCGGGTGGCGCAGTTGGTTAAGGGTGGGAGCTCTGAGCAACAGGGTCGCCGGTTCAATTCCCACATGGGCCAGTGAGCTGCCCCCAAGCTGAATTGTCGCTGAGCTGCCAACACACGGCCGGATGGTTCAGCTGGTGAGAGCACATGCTTTT